CACAATACAGATACTTTTGAAGTATTTAAAGTCGCCACTTTTAATTAAAACTCGTATATCAAATAAATGTTTGATATACAATTCTATCCTTTTAAAAGCCATAAAAAACAAAAGGCCATCAGTTTGTAACCAGTCACTCAGAGCTTTCATTTCTGTCATTAACACATTGACAAAATAAACAACACCAACAAATACTGGATTTGTAAAAGACACCACACCAAGTTCAGTGTCGTTTGGTATGTTTTTGGAGATGTTTTGTTCAACACCAGACAACAATATAAAATTTACAAATTCTTCATAATATTCAAACACCCAATTTGATACCAAAACAGTGTAAAGAAATCTTGTTTCACTAAGACGGCTTACTTTGTTCATTACACCTTCCAAGTCGTAATGAGTAATATACTGAATTAACACATTTCGATTTTGTTCTTTGGGTATTTTACTCAAATATTTGTCAACAATGTACCCATAACCACTTTCAAATACAGTTTTGCTTGATATGTTTAATCTATGGTCACAACAATAATTATCCAAAAAACACTCGACCAAGCCTCCATCTCTTTCAACAATTTCAGTAAGTTTTCCTGCGACACTATTATCATTACTTTTCAATGTTATATCTCCATCACTACAAAATGAACACAATTTTGAAAAATTGGAATTGTAAACACTACACACAATTTTATCGATCCTCGTTGTCCAGTTAATCGCGTTTTTGAATCGTAATATCTGCAAATACTTAACCTTTTTTCTTCGAATGTACAATCTTTATAAACAAATCTTGCATAAAGAGAGAGATAATGATCACCATATGTTGAAGAATCTGTTGAAATTCCATATCCAACACATTTATCAAAATTGTTTGTAATTTCTTCTTTTTCTACAATTGGTATAAGTGAAGCTCTTCGGGTGACAGTTTCATATGATATTGAAAGCCCCTTTCCACCCTTTTCAGCTAGAAGTTTAAGTGCAACCAATAACACAGACCTCATTCCATTTATTTGTGTTTCAGTCATTGAAGTTGCCTTTGACACAATTGCAAATAATATAGTTATATATTCGTTTTGTGAATTCAATTTGTGATCAGAAAAATTACCTTTTATTTTTCTTTGTGTTTCAAAGGCTTCCAAAACTGATTTTTCCAATATTTTTGCGGTTATAGTTTCAACATCAAAAGTTCGATTTTCACTTTTTATACAATTTCGAAGTATTTTGATTTTTTCAATTGAAGCGAGTTGTTTTAAAGTCAGCTCATTTGTTGTCAATTTTGGTTCTTTGTTTTT